TGAGAAACTGTAGATGCAGGGACAGGGGATATGGCTGCGTGCTACACTGCAGAGGGGATAAGAGTAATGAAGGTAGGGAATGCAAGAGATAAAAGAACTGCTGGGGAAACTGGAACATAGCCAGGTCTGCGAAGGAATCAAGGGCCTGCCTACAGCAGTTTTCAACATCATACCCCTGTCCTCTAAGAGCTTTAAGATGATGATACTCATCACAGCCTCATTTGATGAATCCATACAGAGGAAATCCAGGCAGATGTAGCTATTCTGAAAGAATAATCCTGTTTTACCAGGTTAACTAATGTTATCAAGGAATGAAAGGACATTCCCATTCAGCTGCAGGAGAAAGAAGATGACTGCCATGAGGACACGTGCTACTTCTGCTGCTCTGTGCTTATGCTGGCTTAAGTTTTCTAGCAGTGACAAGCCCTGAGCTGGTGCATCTCTATGCGCCTACTGACAAACGCAAATAGAAGGAGCAAAGGAAACGCAATGCCTCCCTAACCAGCATAAAAAGGGGAAAACCCCAAGGTAAACTGACTACATAGTACCACATTAACTTACCAGCTGAGATCTCCTCATCTAAGCCTCCATCAACCTCTGCGCTGAGGCAGATATATCCTAGTGCCTGCTCCTGGAACAGGTCCTGACTGGAGGCCTCCAAGGCATCAGAATTAATATATTGGAGCTGTCTGAACAGCCCAGTCTGTGACATCCTCCTGCCTCTCACCAAGGTTACCTGCTACTCATGACTCTCCCAAATGTTTAGGTCTAATTTAGATGAAATGATGGCTTTAGTTCCTCAGGGAAGATGGAAAAAGTTCTTGTTGTTGAGGGGAGGTACATGCCTTGGTATGCTGCCATGAAAGATTATTCTTGTGTTGTCACTAAGTACATGTACTTTATTCTGGCACCCACTGGGTGGCTAAACAGGGAAGCACTGATGGCAGAAAACACATGTGGTTGCACAGCAGCTTCCTCTACTATAAAGACAATCTCTGCACTCATGGCACGCTCACATATAAACAGAGACTTGATTTGGGACTGTTTTCTGGGTATGAGTGCTTGAATGATGTCTTTCACAAAGGAGCTCTTGAAACTTCCAAACATGAAGAAAACTCAGGGTTTGCATCTCACCTTCTGGAAAAAGCTGTATTCATCACATTATCCCTTTTCTGCCCCTCAAAGCCTCCACAACAGTATTTCTAAGACCATACAAGGGCCAGCACTGAGCCAAGCACAGTAACTCAAGCTCAAGCAAGCACAAATTCTTCTCATGAGTCTTTATGCACATTCCATCTTTTAATCACAAAACATTGTTTTCTTCCTTCTTCCTCCTCCATTCCTTTATACACCTCTAACTCCTTTGCACCCACAGGTTTTCCCTTACTTAAGCTGCACTTTGTTACTGCTTGAGGGAAAGCACTTTTTAATCTTGCTTTCTCCCCTCAAAAACAGGCATAAAAGGGTTTAGAAACCAGAACGAGGACAGTATGACAAATCTGAAGAGATGGAAATCTTTTTATGTTTAAATTCAGCCACTGGAGAAAAACATCCAGGAAGAAAAGTGGAACAAGACACATTCCTCTTCTCCCATTCCCTGAATCCTTTGGCTCAGTAAGTAGGATGAAGGAATGAAGGTGATCAGAGTAGACAAAATACGAAGTTTCTCTGTCAGGAGGCTCAGCACAGAAGGAATGTGCATATTTTTCTGCTGCAAAAACATCTGCATAACACATTTCAGACAGATCTACTTTGTAATTAACAACTTAAAGCTAAGGAAAGAGCATGCCTAATCCTAGGTCTAAACCCAGTTTCAAATTACAGAAAGGACTTGAAAGCTGCTGAAATACCCAAGAAGATTCTAGACACCTTTTACAAAGAACTTTTTTTAACTTGGCTATTCCACAAAAAAAAAAAGGAAAAGAACTTGAGATGTCTAAAGCAGAGGGCTCAAAATACGTGAACTGAAGCAACTGGGACTGTATGCCTGGGTTTGTCAGACTGCTCATGCATTTTAACATACAGTTTTTAATTACCTTTCACATGAAGTTTCATACAAGGTGTTTCTCATTCCCAGTGACTGAGCATTAATTCAAAGTTTTATTTTATTCTCTTTGCTCAATACAGAGTCACATGCTCAGGCTGAGAGCTCAATCTGAAAACTGACTTTGTAATCAGCTTTTCAAGGTGTTCACTATTGTGACACCAAAGTGTTTTCACAATGCTGCAGTGGAGTGGCCCATTTCCCTCACAAACAGAAAGAAGGCCAAGAGATTTACTGAGGCCAAGAGATTAAAGCCAAGAAGGCCAGCCAAACTCTCCTCCTGAAATGCGCAAAAATGCTTCATAGCATGACTTTTCAGAATTATCTGTTCAAGGCAGACTCCAGCTGCAGTTATAAGCATTCTACACATCTGCTCCTCTGACTAAAAATTTCCACTCATAATCTGAGGGAAGCACAATCCAAGCAAGGAAAACCTGTATAAAGTGGGACTCACAACGTAAATAAAAACATCAAGCTCACTTAGTCAGAGTGATATTCAGTTCCTTCAAACAGGAGGCCACCTTTTTTCTTCCTACAATTTTCACTTTATTCCTTATACACCTTCCTTTATTCAAAGATATGAAAAGGTCCTACAAGTAACTACCCTTTCATCACACACTCCTCATTCATTCCCTGAGCAGATCCATACAGAAAACCAAATGAAAGAGAATCTCTGTGGGAGGAAAGAAGACATTCAATTGAAAACTGTGTCGCCGTGTCTGCAAGAGCAATATAATACTAAAAGAATTCCGTTACAAGACACAGATGTAAATTAAGAATTAGACACTTTTTATAAGAGATGACCAAAAGTTCTGGATGATTTATTTCTATCAAATTTTAGGAAGTTTTAGGATAGGATTTAGAATGGAACTGGATGTTTTTAAAACACTGAAATAATGTGGGGAAAAAAGGGGAGCAGCAAGTAGGAAACTGAATGCTGTCCATCAGTCAGCATCAAAAAGATGACTCATGTCTAAAATACTGTATGTGTTTTCACAGAGTCAGGAGTTCAGGCAGAACATCAGGAGAGGAGAGCAGGCTCAGAGAAAAACAATATGGGTAATTAGAAATAGATGCTACTACCTATCAGCAGCCTAACTTACTAAATACTGTGATGGGTGCTCTTGGACTCTAAGGATCACAATTCATATATGCTTTCCTGAAAGACATCCAGAATAAGGATAGCAAGTGTCTTATGATTAGCTAATAACAGCAAGTAGTATTGCACCAGGCAAAATTGAAAAAGGCCTTAAAGATCTAAGAGTAAGAAAAAAAGGCTAAACCATCACAGCAAAGAATGTTTTATTCTTCCTAAAATCTTTGTAAACAGGTACTTTTAAGGATTTTTAGATTGTGCACATCACTTTCATACTTCAACAGGATGAGAATCTCTAATCCAATTGCAGGACCACAAATCTCAGCTGCATGCCTGTACTAGAGAGGAAGAGGAGTTCCCAAGCTGGCTGATTTTAATTGACTGTGATGACATGATCCAGAGGTGTCTGACTTTGGCAGGAGCATTCTCCAGCCACCAACCTCCCCTTCTCTGCAGCTGGGTACCTCTACTGTACCTCTCCACACCCACTGCTGCATCCTGCTCATCTCTGCTTACCAGCTACAGATCCCAGGCTTTCACTCCTTTATCTTTGCTCTGCAGCTCTTACCCAAAATACACTCTGTCCTCCCAGCAGGAAACCCCTGCATTTTCCCTATGCACTTACTCCTTGTCCATTTGCTCTTTTCTCCTCTTTCCCAGCCTTTGTCCTCCCAGCTGAGGAGCCTCAGTCAATTGCAGACTTCTACAATGGAGTGAAAACTGCCCAAGAATCTTTGCTCCTCTCCAACCTGCCTCTTTATTCAACTCTTCTTCCTGGCTTCTGCATCCTCCTTCCTTCCTTCCTTCAAGCTCTTAGATCCTTGCCTGTCCAACTGCAGCTTCTTTTCAGCTTTCACTGAAATTTATTATGGTTCTTGAACATTCTCAGAGACATTTCCTTTCATAATGACCAAAGGAGAACTGAAGACACAGGGAACAACACACCCTTGACATCTGTGTCAATATCAGCACCTTATCACTTCTGTGCTGAAAGAAAGCTGGTGTGGTAAGACATCTGAAGAGCCAAATTCCATTTTTCTCCATGCATATGCAGATAGTGAGAGATTTAACTGGCCTGGTACAGTGAAGCAGAAGACACATAACCAGAACTACCCAGCTTTAAACACACCACCCCGTGAACCTCCTCCCCTGTCTCCAGTGCCAGCACCAGACCAGCAGGAAAATGTGAGAACAGCATTACTCAAAGAACAGGTCATTCAATCTTAACTCGTTAACCTATTCATTGAGAAACAGCTCCTCTGATGGATCTGCCTGGCTATTTTAGGAACGCGTGGGTAAAACATGCACTGAAAGTCTCATCCCCAAAGGGCAGAGTCTGACGGAGTTTTAAGCACCTTAAGGCAGGATGGTAAAATGGGAGGTACCATGGGAGGGCTCTGATAACGTTACCAACTCCATTAGCATTTACAGAGCTCCTCTTCGGCCAGAAAAGCAGGGCTGCATTTGTAAGTTGACAGCGTAGAAAGCTACCATAACTACCGCCCCACAGATCCAAAAGTTCTCTCTGTCTCGATGTCTATCCCGGGAAACCACTGACAGCCAAGCTCCCCCTCCCGAGAGGCGGCTGGAGCAGCACCGGGCTCCTTTCTCATGGGACAAACCAGTCGCGGGGCTGCGATGTCACGGCTCCCGCAGCAGCTGCAGCCGAGCCTTGCCCCAGGGACGGGGCCTCTCCGCACGGCCCGGGGACCGGGCGCCCGACAGCCGGGCCGGGCTGCGCCCGAGGGGCTGGGAGAGCCCGCAGACGCCCTGCGCAGCGCTCGGCCCCCGCCCCTCGGCCCGTCCGTGCCCCCCGGGCCGGCTCAGCCGCGGCCTCGGCCCCGCCCCGGCGGCTCTTACTGTCCAGGTAGTGCTCCAGGTACATCCCCGCCGCCATCTTGGGCCCCACACAGCGGCGCTTCCGGCGGGAAGCGGACGCGCGCGCCCCCCGGAAGCGGCGCTGCCCGGACGGGAAGCCGCTTCCGCCCGCCTGTCCCGGCACTTCCGCCCCGCTCCCGCCGCCATTTCGGGCTCTGCGGGGCTGCCCCGGGCGGTCCGGGACGAGGGTATCGAAGGTGGCCGGGGCATTGGGGCATCGCTTCTGCGGGGAAAGGCTGACGGAGATGGGGCGCTTCAGCCCGAGAGGCTCAGACGACCGACAGGGGACCCCATCCATCTCTCTAATCATCTAAAAGGAGAGCGTGACTCTTCTCGGCGGTGCCGAGCACTAGAAGAGGCAACGGGCAGAAACTGATGCACGGGAAGTTCCATCTGAACATGAGGAAGAACTTCCTTACTGTGCGGGTGACTGAGCGCTGGGACGGATTGCCCGGAGAGGTTGTGGAGTCTCTCTCACTGGAGATATTCCAGAACTGTCTGGACTCAATCCTGTGCTGTGTGCTCTGGGATGACCCTGCTGGAGCAGGGAGCTTGGAGCAGTAACCTCCAGAGGTCCCTTCCAACCTGGCCCATTCTGTGATCTGGCTGAGGAAGTGATGCGACTCGTTACTATGGTTTCCCCTTCACCTCCTCATCCACCAGTGCCGAGCAGCTGCTGCTGTGTCCTAAGCGGAGATGGATGGTCTCTGCTGCAACAGGACTGGTACAACTTAACACTAATAACAGACTAACAAAGGGAATTAAGTTATACATGTGACCGTGCTCTTTCTCTTCATCATGCCAGAAGCACTTTCGTGACCCTACACCACGAGCCACTTGAAGGTTTAGAGCCCTGCGGAGCTCAGGAGCCCTGCCCCAGCCATCCTTTGCTACACGCACGGTGCGGTGATGCGAAGTCACATGTGATTATGGAGGAACTGAGGCAAAATTCTCACACTTCTGTTCAGCCTTAGGTTCCAAGATATGCAGGATTGTTTTTTCAAGAGGTCAGAGTTAATTTAGCATCCTATAGTTTAGGAGGCACTAGGTTTGGTAAATACTACATTTCAACCACCTTTCTCCTGCCTACTCCCCCTACACCGTCCTGTTTTTTCCTGCCAGTCTATATAATGACAGCCATTGCTCAGGACTGAATGCTCCCGGATTCTAGCCACAAGGAGAAGTGATTACATTTCTTTTCCTCTCTTTTCCTCCCAAAGATCTTCCTAGACACCATGCCTTTATTTATATGGATACACTAGGATTAAGTCTTTGAGCAGCCTGGACTGCAAGACTGAGGAGCTGTTACATAAAGGAACTGCAGCTGTTTGAACTATGAACCATCTTGCTGTTAAAGTACTTGGTTAATTCAGAGATCCTCTGTGTTCTGATGATGGAGTTTTCCATTCCTCTTCCTACAGTCATTTAAGTTATTTATGACATATTTTTAATTATTCAAAACACATTTCTTAGTCTTTTCAGTTCCCATGCGGAGCAGCTGGCTTCAGTTAGCTGAACGTTATTGTTAAGCCTCTTTAAAGTACTTCAAAATTCTTGTATAAATTGCCTTACACTCTTAATTAAGGGGAAGGATGTGGCTGTTAAAAAAAAAAAAAAAAAAAATCTGCTCCCTATAACCATGTCACAGTCCTAAACCAGAATCTCCCCAGCATGTTCTGCTTGGGGCTACCAAGCTGAATGGAGCTGATGTTAAAAATTAGACATTCTTAGACATCACTAATTTGTTTAAGAGACCACCTGGGAACCCCATCTTATCCTTCAAGCCAAGTCTAGGAAGATGTCAGAATTCTAGGTCACTTAAATGGAGAGACAATCTCCCTCTGGACTTCTTGCCACTGCAGATACAAATGACAGGGCAAAGAAGCAGCAGTTGCCTAAAATCTAAATGGCAAATCTTGATAAAGTGTACAAATGTGTCTCTAACTGCATGATCTGCCACCGTGAATTTGCAAAATAAAAGGCAGAGGGAGTTCTGTGTGCCTGTGTGGTCTCACAGCAGTAGAAATTCTACCATTCCAGCAAAAACTAGTTCCTGAGCTCTGAGTCCGGGAAAGCTTGTTATTTTTGCTTTCTTTACAAAGTCAAAGAAGTATTTGCATTGCTCACGGCTCCAGCAGCATTCTCACCCACAGAGAAAGAGTCACCATGGTAGTTATTTGTTGAGAGGTGGAATATTTTTTTAAACACTTCTGCACGCTGAAGTCCGAGCACGGGTGCAGACAAGTGTGCAGGAAGATGCATTCCCAGCTGAAATAAGCTCTAGAGACCCAGGACCTTTTATGTCTAACCCTCACCCAGCCTCAAGCGCTGATCCTTTGGCAAGTGCTGCAGTAACAAAACCTCACACACTAACCCCTGTGCTTATCACATTCCTCCCCCTCACCCGTTTGCTACTACAGCTCCACGCTGCAGCCAATCCTGTAGGTAGCTCCTGGCTCGAGAGGATCTGCAGGATGAGCGCTGCTGCCCAGGCCTCGGCACCTCCCACAGGGAAGCTGCATGGCCTACGGAAGCAGTCTGCAGGGGTGGTTCTCATCCTTTATTGATGTACAGATGCCTGTGTGTTTTCCCTTGGAAATGTAAACATCTGTATACCAAACTGAAGCCTCCAGATTTTAGTTACCTTATAGACTTCTTAAGTGTTGTCCAAGGAGTGTGAGGTGAAGGCCAGTGCTTGAGAGGGATCCTCATGCAGAAGCCAGCAGGTCAGCTGTAACTCTGGACTCTTGTTCAGTTACCTTTTTGCTGTTGACGTACGTTCAGCTCTTCTCTTCAACTCTTTAACATTCTAAGTTCAGAGGTCCCTGAACTTTCCATTTCCTGTCTTCAGGAAACACCAGAGGTACCCACACTTCATTCTCACAAATGGCAAATGATTGATCTGCAGCACTTGGCCCCAGGGGAGTTAATTAGCTTTACAAATGAAAGAGGATGCCAAAGGCCACAAATTATAGCTGAGTCCATGTTTCAAAAGCAAATCCTACTTCAGTAGCAAAACTAGGCGTAGACTCTAGTTCTTTGGTGTCACGATTTCTTTTCTTGCAGTTTTTTTTTTCCATTCATTACACAGACACTACATGAAATCGAAATGTTTGTTGGACCAAGTTACTACATCTCTCTAGTACTTTGGTGTTCTACTATACAGAAACAAGAAACCATGCACACAAATTTAATCTGTTGTACCTGAAAGGACGATTGAACAGGTACCTATCTTGTAGTTAAGGAAGTGTACAGAGCAATTTCATTCTGTGTTCTGAAACTGCACTAGTAAACTTGGGCAGCTTTCAGGTACATTACCTGCAAAATATTAGATGAAAATCCTAAACATGATATATATCCTTTAGTTGATATAAAGATGATAAAATAATCAATAAAAATATAGAAGACAGACAGAATCTCATAATTATATTCTATATTAGGAAGAAAGTTGGATGATGTAGACACATCTGTGAGGTAATGAAATATTACCTATTGCCAATGAGATTTAGGAAGATGTTTAGTTCTACCCATTAAATAAAACATCCTAGAAGTTGCATAGCTAGAAACTGACAATCAGTAATTTGAAAAGAATTATCTGGCAAGCAGATGGAAGCGATGGGCTTTCTTTTCCAAACAACTTTGAAGTTCTGAATGTGTTACAGGAGACCAGCAAATACTTTTACTAAAATGTATTTGCAAAGCAAGTGGGTTCATCCAGGTTGCTGTAAGGCAGTTAACCCAACACTGATGTGGCAAAATCTCAGTGGCACTGACTGGGGTTGCACTCAGCTAAGGAAAGAAACGTACTGCTGCTTGTTTTAATTTGAAGAAAAAGACCTAATTAAAAGAAGTGGATATCCTTCTAGATAGCCATCTAGGCCTAATGTAGCAAGACTTTAGCTGAACACTACACAGCTGGGTCACTGAAAGGGAAAAGAAAGGCAACAGATAAGAACTATATGATGGAGCCAAGCCTTACTGTGAGACACCTAAACCAGCTCAATTCAATTTAGCTGTTTGGAAAGATGAATACAGTGACTTGATCATGGTCTGTAATTCATTATACAAGAAGAAAGACTTTTTATAGCAGAAGACTTCAATGTACTCAACAAAGGAACAGCAAGACCCTATGGATTAAAAAAAAAAAAGTAGTAATAGAGCGGCAGTTTCAATAGCAGTGATAACTAACAAAAAAAGGGTAATAAGGGACATGGTTGATTAACCATAAGGCTTTAAATTATAAAAGTCTTAAATCTTTCTTGAAGACTTAACTGAATTATAGACCAGCAATACTATCATTAGTCACAGCTGAGATTCTGTTACTGTTTGTGGGTGACTTTTCTAAATGATTTCCAGCCTACATGATGTCTCCTTTTAAAGCAATGATAATTTGTAAAATGCAACTAAGAACAGAAAATCAGCTTGGAAAAGGACAAGATGAAAAAGTGCTATTGCCTTTCAGCAAAGATACAAGATGCAACCTAATACAGAACTCCGGAGTCATTGTCAAGTCTTCTTGGGTGCAAACATATAGAAACAAATGGATTTGCATCACAATGAAAATGCAGGGTCAAAGAATTCATGGAGCTGAAGAAGAAGGACCATGGGATCTTGTTAAGAGAAAATTCCACTCTTGTGAGTGGGAGGTAAATAACTGAACCGTTGTTGGCTTGAGTGCACAAAGCTGCAGACTGCAGAACCTCAGGTTTCACCTGAAGAGGGAAGATTTTTGTACAAGTTGTTACAATTTGTGTCTCACAGGTAGCTACTGTACTTTTTAAACCATCTGGAGTACACTGAACATGTTAAACAACCTTGGGAACCCAAAGAGGAAGACCTAATCCAAACTCAAATAAGTGACAAAGATAATGAGGGTAAGGTATCTTCAATTATTGCCACATGCGCAACAGGACTGGGTAAACAGAGAAATTCTCATTCATAAGAAAGAAAAGGAGGCCTGAAATAAAGTGGCATTTCTGAAGCTCAGTGGGAACGTCCCTTAGTAAGAAATAATTAGTTTCCTCCTGGGCAACAGTGAAAGCTATAGGCTCAGCAGCAAACTGCACAAACAGTAACACCTTTGAAATGACTGGTAACAAGAATTGTACAGCCTTAAATACACATGGATGCCCATGCTGGGTAGCAGATTCCAAGAAGGGAAGGGGTAGCAGACATCAGAAAACACCACCTCAAAATAGGGACCAGGAAAGGCGATTTCAAGCATCTTTAACATAGAAAATGAAAAATCACTGCAAAGAATTTTAATGTGTGAGCCATTCCCCAGGGAATTCAACCAGTCAGCAAAGTATTATTCTGACTTTTAAAGCCATCCCAGTTTAATTCAAAACACTGCAGCCAAACCAAGTCATTTTTTAGACTTCAAGATGATGCATTCAAGATGAGAGAACAACTTGAGTGAAGCTGGCAGTTTTGTCCTGTCCATGTGGATCATGGACATGCAGAGGAGAGCCTCAAGTAGTAATAATACTCTGCTGAGTCTCGTAACTTCCAAGGGGAGCAAAACTATAAACTCAGTTGTCCACACGAGAAAAAGGAAGAAGGCAGAGGAATATGAATCAAACTCTCCTGTAAGGAGAAACATAACAGATGAAAAAGGTGAAGACAACAAGACAGCAACCAATATAAATTAGACACTATAAAAATAGAGAAAACTCTTAAGAAAAGCTTTGTGACTAGCAAAACTAGTGGTAAAAGGAAAGGAGTATTTTTCTCTTTTACTCCTTTCAATCACAAAATAAAAAAAGAAATCTTACTAATAGTACTCATCCATGCTAGATAAAAATGGTGAAAATGCTAGTGACACAGAACAGGGGAAACCAGTCAACAAATACTTCCAGTTCCATCTAAAGAAAGGAACAGAATTTAGCAGTCATATGAAAACAGCAACTTCTATCTAGTACCATAGTATCATAGTAGGAGATGAGACAACACCTACTAGGGATGTATATTTTGAAATCAGCAAAGAAACAGGAGTCCTGAAAGAGTTCAGTAACAAGCTCTTTAGCCCAGTCATTCTGATCTTAATTAAACTTGGGATATTAGAGAAACACCTTAAGACACTCATGACAGTACTCCCAAAAGGCAAATTAAACAGTTCAATGACAAAATTCAAAATTATGGAAAACCTGTAGAGAGGAAGAATTAGTGAATGAAAAAATAAAACCTGTAACACAAAGGTTTTATGAAATACAGATTCTGTAGTAAAAAAAAAAAAAAAAAAAAGAATAGAAGAAAAAGAAAAAACCCTAATTTCATTCTTAGATGATATCATTATACATTTGGTTTAACAAAGGGGACTGCATAGGTGCAACATACTTAAATTTTTATAAGGCATTGACCGAGCACCATAAGTCAGAAATATAAACTGTACATAATCAAATACTAAGAGGATTACGAAATGCCCAGCCTGCAAGTCTCAAAAAGAAGCTAATGAGAAGCTGCACTCAATGATGCTTTTCAAGTTAGCATAGGTCAGATGCAATATTGCATTTCAACCTGGATCTGAAAATAAAAATAACAACTGATACAGTTTGCGGGTGACAGAACTATGAAAGCTGTGAGTAACCTGGTCCATCAGTCAGCCAGGTCCATTCACATAGGCTGGACTTGGACACAGCCCCATGTGAGGCATCCAGGAAACAAGAACCCAGAGCATACCTGTAGAGAAAACACTTATCATGGAAAGCTGAGACTTTGGATGATCACACTTGACCAGACAAGCAGCCTGTGTGCTCCTGTATAACACCATGAGAAGAGGTAAAACATAATCCTCTGCAGACTTAAGGCAAAGGGCTGAGGGACCTCATCCATGGCACTGGGGCTTCAACACTCAGTCCCGAAGTGAACATGTTTATAAGATACTGAAAAATTTGACAAGATGTAGAGAGAAAAGACAAGAATAATTTGTGGGCTGGAAGAAATCCCTTACAGTGGAAGATTTACAGAATTCTATCTGTTTACCTTGTCAAAAAGTGGATTGAGAAGGGACATTAGAGGGTTTAAATACAAGTCTGGGGGGGAGAAGTCCCATTCAGGCTCTCAGAATCAGAAGGATGAATATTTCCAGAACTAGTAACCAGAAGCCAAAGCAAGGAGAAATCTGGCTTAAATATTTAAACAGTGAAAACATGAAGACCTTGCAGCAGGCTACCAATGGATTTTGTGTCCCAGTGCCTCAAAATCAAGCCAATGCATTTTGTCAACGCAGTTCAAATACAAATGAGTTCTTGGGGCTCAATACAGCCTAAATACATTGAAATGTCACCTATGAAATGCAGGAGTCAAACCAGACAGCTCCATCTAGCCTAACCTATGCACCTACCAAACACTCCACCCGTTTGCAGCCAACCCTGGTGACTGAACAGAGAAAAAGGTTTCTGCCACAGGCTCCCCAGGTGCAGAGCTCCTCACTTTCCTTGTGCAAACGCCAAAGTGCCAAAGGCAGGGATGTGCTGCTCTTGCGCCTGCCTGCACGGCCCCTCGGGACTCAGGGCAGCCAGAGGCTCCTGCAGGGGTCGGGTGCAGGGGGAAGGAACACACGTCACAGGGGCAGGGTGCTTGCAGCAGCACCTTCAAGGAGCCTTTTACACCAATTTATTTCTATACAGGGTGGTTAAAAAAAAATAAAATAGAAGCCCCTATTGGTTGTTCATACAGAAGTCTGGGATTCTATAGGCTTTGGGTGGGTGACTGATTTTAAAACCCAACAACACATGCTTTTTCCCTTGCCTTCTCATTCTCTTCCAAGTCAGCCTCCATGATCCAAAGAAACTAACAAGTAACACACAAGACTAGCAGTCATGTGGACCAATTAAAAAAAAAAGAAAAAAAAAAAAAAAGAGGAAGGAGAATTGAAGACGAAGAGAAAGGGAAAAACAAACGAAGATTGAAAATAAAAATTCGCCAGGATAATGCGTTTTATAAACACAGAGATAGAAACAGTTACAGCAAGGACAGAGCGGGCCAGGGGTGGGGAATAGATATTTATATATATATATATATATAAATTCAAGGGGCCTTCAGTTTATTCTTGTTGGCTCCCCCTTCTCATTAGATTGGTCTCTCTGTGGGGATCTTCATCCCCTTCTCTCCACTGTCCACCTTTTGGGGATTCTCTCCCATTACCAGGGTCCAGAAGAGGCCACCACTGCCATGTGAGTCCAGCCCGTCTTGGCAAGAGGGAGCCTGGGAGAGCACTCTGGCAGGAGATGAGCAGGAGAAGCTAGCCTTTCCCTGCCTCCTGCCAGCTCCTTGAAAAGACTGGTCTATTCCTCCTCCTCCTCCTCTTCCTCTTCCTCCTCCTCCTCCTCTTTCCCTTTGGGAAACTGGGGGCAGGACAGGTATGTGAGTGTCAGAACTGCTGTCATTCCACCTTTCAGGAAAGGGAGTAGAGAGAAGGGTGATGATTATTTTGGCAGTCTCTTACCCTCCCTCCAGTTGCTTTTTGGTTTGTTGTTGATGCCTGCAGGCTTTTCTGAGGAGGTGGGGGGAAAAGCAGGAGGGAGAGGAGGAGGAGTACAAGCTGCTAGGATATCATCCACAACAGGCAGGAAGAGCAATGAGCAGGAACCCACATTCCTACGGGGCCATCGTGCTGCTCAGACAGCTGGGAGAGAGAGGCAGCAGTCAGTTCAGACAGACTCCTCTCTATTGCTCTCCACCAGGGGAGGAGAAAGAACGCAATACTCCACAGCCCTTAGGCAGTGTAGGCACCTGTCCATCCCAGAGAACATGCCTCACCTTTCCCCCCTCCACTGGTCTCACCTTCCACTGGGGAGGAGGTTTCTCCCATCCAGTCCTTGGGGCAGGACGAGCGACCCCTCCTCCCTTTCACAAGCAGGAGGGACAGGAATGGATATTTCTCTCTCAGACACTCAAGGCAATCCTCAAAGAACCCCATCCAGCTGTCAACCCTGCCACATTCTTCTGTGGCCTGCTAAAAACATGTGTCCAAGCCCCTGTGAATACAAGGGCCATCTCTCCATCCCATCCACCATGCGTATCTCAACACGCAACCCCGCTTCGTACACATCCTACAGTGAGAGAGAAGGCAAAACAGGGGCCTTTCTTTGGGTTTCAAAGGAGGGGCTCTTGCATGAGGAAGTGATCCCAGCACAGGAAAGGGGCTCTTGCACAAGGAAGCATCCTCCTACCAGGCAGGCTGTTGCACAGAAGGAGCACCCCCTTGAGACAGGCTGTTGTTCAAGGGGCTGCCATGAACAGGGTTAAACGGCCAGAAGAGGCTGTTGCAGGAGGAGAGGCCGGAAACTGTTGCACGAGGAGGGCCGCTGCATAAGCGGTGCCCCTGGCACAGGCTATGCACAAGAGGCGTTCTGCTCCCTGGGTTGAGGTCTCTCTAGGAGCTGGAGAGGTGCTCCACCTGGATGGCGCTGGTGCTGACAGTGAGGCAGATGTCCTTGTGATGCTCTGAAGTCTTGTAAGGAGTCAGGTCAAAGGAGCATTGGGGGGGAGGGTTGGGTTGGTTAGTGTCTCCAGAAGGGCCCCCTGCTGCCCCCCCGCCCTGCGGCTGGAAGTGCTGCTGCTGCTGCGAGGCCTGGGCTTGCGCCTGAACCACCTGCTGCTGTGGGTCAGGGATGTTGTGTTTCCGCATGTGCTTCATCAGGTACGTCTCCTGCAACGGGAAGAACCGCGTGAGAGGAGGGAACGACGCTCGTGAAAGACGAAGCCAACAGGGAGGGACACGGCAACTCGGGGGACTGCTCCCGTTGGATCTAGAGGAGCTGCTCCCTTGGAAGTTTGACCACTTCTGCTACACCCCCAGGGCAGCAAACACTCACCGAGGTGTAGGCCCGGCTGCAGATGGAGCAGGTGTAGACCTTGGCGTGTTTCACCGTGTGCGTAGCCAGGTGTACCTCCAACGAGGCAGCATCCGTGTACGCACGGTGGCAGTTGTGGCACTTGAAAGGTTTGTCTTTGTTGTGCTGCCGTCTGTGGGACTGGAGGGCGGCAGCAGCAGGGAGCAGAGAAAGCAAGCGTGACGAAGGAATAAAGTGTTAATACTGGAGACAGCTTTACCTCAAACACTCCCTTCAAGCCAGGCCCCAAGCTCCTGAAGAAAGTACACCTGGCTTCTAGCATAGGGACAGAACTTCTCCCTCCAGCCCACCACACCTTCCCCACACATGCCCTTTCCTGTCATGCATATTAGGCATTGAAGAGCAGAGACTCTTAATGCTCCACAACCCCCATCTCCTCAGCTTCCATGCAACTCCCAGTCTTTTCCTGGTCTCTCCTTTTCTGCCCCCTATACATCTGCTCCCTGCATCCAACACCTTCAGGGCAGGATTTGCTTTAACTCCTTGCAGGTGTTTACAGCTCTTTGCTCTTTGGCACACTCTACAGTCCCCCTCCTCCAGGGTACTGCAACAGGACACACCATCTTCCCTATATCCCTACCCTTACGCCCTCCATTTCATTGTAAAACAAACAAAAAACCCACCCAGATACACAGACTTCATTGGGTGTAACATTCTGCAAAAGTCTTGCCCCAGCTAAGTTAGAAAACTGCAAGACAGATGGGAGGAACTTCACTAAGGTCTCACTGCTTTCAAGTCAAGTTAACAATTTCACATGGTGCAACTGTTTATGTGACTTCTTTGGGCCACTAGTGCCACAAGTCAGGAATCTCTTCCCTGCCCAGAGCTTCCATAGCTTTCTGTATTCTTTTATTCTCCTCCCAGCTGCCCCACTTGGTTCCACCTCCTTTACTACAAGCACCTCGCCAACCCCTGCTGGCTAGTAGGACACACCCAGCCCCTTACCTGCAAGTTGGAAAGCTGGGTGAAAGCCTTTTCACACCCAGGGTGAGCACATTTGTAGGGTCGGTCCCCGGTGTGGATACTGTTGAGGAAGAGCACAAACGGGAGGCAGTGAGCAGGCAGACAGAGCAGACTGCCAGGGCCTGCTGCTGCTGTGTGAAGGGGAAGATGTTGCCTCCAGATGCTGCTCTAGCTGGACAAAGAGAGCTCTGCCCAGCTCCCATGTCCAGTTAGAAGTTGGAGAAGACAGGCAGTCAAGCAGATTTCAGAGTGACTAGGATTGAGGAGCAAGAGCTTATGAATAGCTGGACAGCTCAGCATGTGAGCTACCTAAAAATGTATTAGGAAGGGGTCAGGAGGTCTAGACCCCCTGCTCCAAGCTCAGAAATCCCAAATGACCAACCAAGAGGAATCTGTTCTCTTGCTTCCACAGTACCAAGAAAGCAGCTCTGTTTCCTCCAGGACAGACACACCAACGCTTTTCCTTTTAAGTAACAGGCTGAGTTTACCTACAGTGTTAATCTGTCCCTGTCCCCCTGCAATGCCAGGAGCAGCTTCCACACACTCAGGCCAACCCCCGTGGTGCCAGGCTGGGATCCCCTACAGCCAATGCCTCTCTCTCTATCGCTCTCTCTCTGTGCCGCCCGCGGTGCAAGACCAAGGATCCCCAGGGACAGCACGTGCCCACCTCAGCCCTGTCGTGGTCAGTGTCTCCTGCGCAGCCTCCACTCCGTCCACTCAGGTGGGTCACCTCCTTCTGGGGGTGCAGCCGGCCGCATTCCCCGCCCGCCCCCCGCATGCTTGGCGCGCGTGCTCCAGAGGTGCATGCCGGCAGCGCGGGGGGACCAGGGCCAGGCCCCCAGCCTCCTCTGGCCCTTACCGTGTGTGCTGCTGCAGGTGGGAGAGCTGGCGGAAGGCCTTCTGGCAGTAGCGGCAGGTGTAGGGCTTGGCCCCCGAGTGGATGCGGAGGTGCTGGGCCAGGTAGGATGTGTTGGCGAAGCTCTTGGAGCAGTGAGGACACTTGTGCGGCTTGACAATCGCCGTGTGGAGCTTGGAGTGGATCCTGCCGAAGAGGAGGAGGAGCAGCAGCAGTTGGACATGACCGCCATCTGGCTAGTGCTGATGGAATGAGGGCACAAAGGGGGTGGGACAGCACCACGCTATCTGCTACATGAAGGAACTCCAAACACAGCATGAGCTCTCTTGGTCTCAAACCGTGCTCCCCTTGGATTCAAGAGACCATGGTCTGTCCGCACCGGGGGAGGATCCAGAGAGAGGAACTATAGAGCTTGGACTGAGGGGCATTGGCAGAGCTGTGTGTGGGAAGCCTACGGCTGAAATAGCAGGGGGGCTGCAAGCCTGGACTTGAGATGTTTGGCAGAACTATGCTGGGGTGACAGGGAACAGTCCTCCTACGCCCACTCTACTCTCACACTGACACAACCAGCCCTACCTCCTGTCAGAAAGCGTCACTCGGCTGCTGACACCTCTCCGGCAGAGCAGCGCTAACCTGAGCGCACCCAGCCCCTCACAGCCAGGGACTGATCTCACGTGTCCGATACCGCTACTGCCGGCCTGACGTGCCCAAGACCTGACCAGCCAGTGACAAGCAGCCGGGTCTCCCCAGGCAGGCGCCCACTGAGGTGCTCACAGCATGCTGGGATGACGGCAACATGCAGTGCGGAGGGCCCCAGCCTCCTCTGGCCCTTACCGTGTGTGCTGCTGCAGGTGGGAGAGCTGGCGGAAGGCCTTCTGGCAGTAGCTGCACGTGTAGGGCTTGGCCCCTGAGTGGATACGAATGTGCTGGGCCAGGTAGGAGCTGTTGGCGAAGCTCTTGGAGCAGTGAGGACACTTGTGTGGCTTTGTCTCCGTATGGGACTTGGAGTGGATCTGCATCTCCGACTTGGAGTAGAAGGTCAGCGAACACATCCGGCACCTGGGACCGGGGCGAGGGGAAGAGACAGTGTCACATGGGGGTAAGCCCCAGTATGGATCAACTCAAACTGGATGGGATCTTCCACACTGAGTGAAGGGGCTTTTTCCCACTATGTGGTACTGGGGAGGTTTCATCCGGGACACTGCTTGGCTGTGAGTGCTCCAGTCCCAGGGGGACAAATTTAAACTGGGAACTGGTGTAATAGAACAAACAATACTTCACACAGCCAGACAAGTAAAGGCGTTGGAAGAAACCAACTGGCTTGCATGAGAGACAGGGCAGCACTTTGGAAATTTTCCAACAGCAATCCTAAGGGGATAGGAATAATTCCCAGACAAAACCCCCACTTTGTAAATCTATGATTTATTTCAGTCAAAAAAACCTTGGAATACCTGGAAATCCCAGGTTATAGTTTGTATTAGAAGTTAATTCCATGTACTGTGAAGTCTGTGAGAGTAGTAATGGCCAAATCCACTTAACTCTGCTCCCATTTTTAGAGAAGACACTCATATATTTAGGATACAAAATGCAGAGAGTACCAGCAGTGCTGCTGCTTTCCTAGTGGGCCTCACACAGATACTCTGGATCTCAAATGTGGTACTTCATTGGTCTAGTTGGCTTTCATCATTTCAGTCTCACTGATGTGATGCAAAATGTTTTGTCTGGGTGTTTGGATCCATCTGTTCCCATAATGATCAGAAATGTATTTGTTAACACACAGACTCTGAACAAGAAGAAGCAGTTGGTATTGCTCTGCTATGGATGCTGCTGTTAAAAACTCTTCCTCCACCACGACACCAGGCTGTTAAGAGAAGCTCATACTGTTTTACAATTCAAGATGGTAAAAGCTTTTGTGGTTGATAATTTGACAGAGAGATAAAAGCTGCATCCAAGTTACTCACTTCTTCCCCACCCCCACAATGTGTGTCAAACAAGGGGCAGAGTTAAGGCTTATCTGAATTTAGGTTTTTCATTTACATTAAAGACAAAATACAATCTCCACATGTAACTTCTCAGGTCACATCTGAGAGATGTACCATCCCGAGGAAGTCTGGGTAACATTAATTCAGCTTTCACAGTGACTTTGTCTGGGAATTTCCTTAAGCTTTATAGTGTTTACAAAACTGCTTGGCAACAAAAGTCCGCAGGTATTACAAGCCACAGAGAGCTGATCCTGCTCCTCCCCATATCCATCTCTCCTCAGGAGGATATTTCATTACATCTACTGTTGTGGCTCTGTTGGAGCCAGAAGCTTTATGACGTGTGCAGTCTGATTAGCGTATGTCATGTAAGCAGTATTTATCCAGCACCTACCTTAACTTTCACAGGCCCTTCCGAGCCACAGCTTGATTCCAAGCCATTTAGCTGGAAGCCATGCCTCCCTAGCAAGCACTCGCACACACACCTGTCGTAACATTTCCCTCCTCTCCACTTTTGCTCTTTTACATTCATTATCATCTCTAACAGTTGTTCCCATGTGTCCTACCTTCATCTTTCTCTTAATCCATTTTAATTGCAAGCCCTAACAGAACATGCAAACTAAGTACATCCTTACATAAATCCTTCCTCATACACACACACACACCCCCCCAATCCCTTCTGGATTCAACAAACAGATGCAATTTGGCTGTTTATCCTTACATCTATTAAAGAATATAAGGAGTAAAAAGGAACATCGGCATTGTCTTTTTAAAAAAAGTAGCTCTTGGTTTATGAACCAAACTATCTCAAGTTGCACAGTTTGTTCCAGACTTCCCAAAATCCTAGACTTGAATAGAGCAAATGTATTTTGCAGTAATCAAGTCATACTTACAGGATGACGACTCTTGTATCCTTGAAAGCACCAACCTTAGAAATAACTTTGAGGTGAAAACTGAACTGAAAAATACCTCTGAGCCCCCAAGTCCAGTTCCCTGCTAATGCAAGCAATTATAGCATAATCCCATGCTTGACTTTCAGCAAGCTCCCTCTCAGCAGATGCTGACTCCCATTACTCTCAATTGAACCCTGTTCCACAGCATTGGCCCTCTGATAAGGAACTGTTCAATTGAGAACAAGCTCCCAGTGTGATGCTGTGATAATAGGGCTCACCAAAACAAAGGGGAATAGCAGGTATCTTTCTTGTATACAGGAGGGCAGCGACTGTTCTTGCCAACAGCATGTCTAATTCTGAAGTCCATGTCCTCAACAATTACTGAAAAACTCACACAGACTCAGCAAACTTAAAGAATGATGGCATGTGGAAAACTGGCTTTGCAGGAAAGATTCACTAACTCCAGTCAATATAGGTTTGGACTAAAGATTAAAAGATAAACCTGGTCAATATCCAAATAAATCTACATAGGGAGAAAAATATCAATTACTAGGGGGTTATTTTATGAACAAGTAAGATATAACAAGGAACAACAACTGACACTAAAAGTGAAAAAAAGGGGAAATAGGCCTTTTCCAACCATGAAAATAATGCATCTTTGGAACAAGGCTCAGAGCCTACAACATGGCCCAAATCACTTGGCCCCTACAATCAGTATTCTGAGAATCCAGGTACCTTCCTGAGAGAAATACCCTTCTAAGGGCTTTGCTCTAGTTTAAAGAGAATGCTGGGCACTAATCTCTTCTGTGCTGTACGCAGGATTTTATATTTTAAATAGTCTATTCTGTTCTGAAAAATTAATGAACTTTACCATGCCATCAAGTCTAAGTAGTCCCATGCATTAAATCTATAGTGCCATAAAGCCATCAACTTTATCTTCCATAACTTCTGTGCACCCGTATTGCTTTGCCAGGTATCTGCCTTCAGGTCAGAAATTTTCTAAAATAAACTTTAATGAAGAGAAACAGACTGCGTGTCCTTTTCTATTTTCAAAATAAAAAGAAGTTGTTTCAAAACCTCACTGGCACTTGCATGACAATGATAAACTTGATTATTAGCAAAAACAGGCCTCAACAACAATAACAAAACCCCCTAAAACCCTAACCTACCTAAAAACCCCAAACCCAAAACAAAACCCTCAAACGAACAAACAAACCAACCAACCCCTGTTGACTGAATTTAGCAGCTATAGACATTCTGATATTGTTTTTCAAACAACACTTAGAATGAAAATCTTGCAAGAACTCATTTTCTAATCATCTAATTAGCATCAACCCTGAGAGAGCAAGAATGTTATGCAGCATTAACAAATTCATGAGCCTTATGAGTTAAAAAAAGCCATGGAATATAACAGAAAGCTGCATTTCAGAATTTTATATTGTGTGGTATCAGGCTTTTTCAAGGGAACAAATGATCCATTTAATTAAGGGCTTCGCATTCTGCCTCAGACAACATCAAATATTAAAGGGGAAGATGCAATCAGCCCTCTAGTGGGCAAATATGGATTAAAAAAAATGTTAAATCTATATGGATAATGAGAACATCCCATCTGACACTAGCAGCTTTTCAGTATTCTACTTCAGTGAAATTCTGGCTGGGGAGAGGAAAAATAGGGAGTGCTCCTTGCTAAGCATGAATGAAACTCTATATGAAGTAACTGATTTCTACCCCCCCTCTGTTTAATATCCATTTTTAATAGTATCCCCACTGTGCTTCTAAACTACCCCTCCTTTGGCTGTATTCTTTCTGACAGCAAGAAACAGAAATGACTGCAGCATTCCCATTGATGGTGTGACACAACATTCCCTGCAGCTGCTTGTTATGGCTCTGAAAATTCAGACAGCCTTGGAGAAAATATCCTTAATAACACAGAGGTTCATATCAACAGTTAAATTAGCACTCAGCCATATGCCAGGGATCAAAAGTAACCCCTTCCAATGTTTACAATGCTTTCTTTTTTATAGGAAATAAAGACATTCAGAATATGTTCATGTTAGACAGAGACACTCTCAAAAATCATGAAATGCCAGTAAAAGGTGGATGTATGAAAGTCATCAAAATGAGTCATAAACAAAACGATGCTTATAGCAACTAGACTACAACTCTGTAGCACAGAATGCTGCATTTTTTTCCACTTTTCATGGAATGTTCCGCCTCATTCATCAGATGCTGTTAGAAGATAAAATACCATCTGAAATACCAGCTCATAGTAAAATTTGCCTAACATGGTTTAACAGCCTTTTTCAATCAAGTGCTTAATTGATCAGTATCATAGTTGTGAAAACTATGTAAGCTTTTATATGGCTCTGAGAATTCAAATTCCTAGTATCTACTGAGAGTAGTCTTACAAGTTAATTGAGTCCTTGCTCCTTCTGTTAGGCTACAAATACAAGTTAGACCATCAGTTAAAATAAAAATTGGAACAGGAAAGTCTGAAATTAGACTAGATGATACGAGTAAGTTTAGGCTGTCAGAGTCAGCAGTTCATTCAGCAGGGAAGGAAACGTCCTGCCTTTCCAATGCAGAGTTAATGAAGTAATTAATGCAAGCACAGCACAATAATGGATGCACAATTCATGATAAATGCTAACTTGACCATCACACTCCCTTCCCCTTTTTTTTTAAGCTGAAGTTAAACACTTTCTTATTAATATTTTGTAAGAGGCGAGGAGAGGAAACAAAACCAACATCCAAGATACACAGGTACAGTACAGTTGGGCAACACACAAATAAAGCCAGCAAGCATGAAGATGCCAAATAAAGGCACAGGAATTGTATCTCTGCTTCACACCGGCACACCCAGCATCTGCTCTGATTCAAAAGCCAATGCTGTGCTTCCACTGAACAGTTTACGCTGCTGGTGTGCCTAACAAATCTATCAGCTATGCTCAGAGATCTTGGTCAACTTGCTTCCACAGTCCTTTAGGCACCTGGTGGCTTGGAAAGGCTGCAGAAAAGCATACTCTCATACATAAGTCTATACAGGAGTTTAAAATGCTCTCATCATATGGCACTTTCCCAGTTCTCAGATTTGAAGACATTCCTGCATTTTGTCCATTTTTCCAAGTGACCCTAAAAATACCTGACCCAGAGTTTTGTGGTATTTCAGCATACTTCACAAGTTGCC